TGATGATGATGATGATGATGATGATGATGATGATGATGATGATGATGCTGATGCCTGATATGGTTCCGAAAGGAGGTGCCATCACAACCCGACAGGCAATCTACAACCTAGAGGTCCCTGGGTCCTTTTGGGGTAACCATATATTTGCAGGTCATTCCTCTAACGGGCCATGTTTGAGGGTCTTTAGTGGTTCCTCTTCACAACACTCATATTCTTGTCAACGCAAACCACTGATATAGATTTATATTTACTTCTGTGTGTGTATGGCAAAGAACCAACTGCTTCCTGGCACACGCATATATATATATATATATTACATAAGATCAAGACTCATTGACTGATCGATTTGGGATCCTCAGGACGTATACCAAACCTTCCTCTTGGGCAGAAGTGTCATGAAATGTTTACCAGTTCTGGGCCTATTCTGAGTAAAGTTGCCATTGTCCGTTTAGTGTCCTTTTGGTGCGAAATGCTCAGTTCAATGAGGATCCAGCCTTCCCGGAACTCCAATAATTAGGCAACTGGTGGGCTTGACGTTGTTTTATAATGATTTCATGCTTAACTTTTGTGCGTCAACAGAGCTGCAATGCTAGTTTTGGAGTTATCTAGTGTGCTTTTTATGGGGGTTAGGAAGGTTCTCAGCACTGTAGTCCCCTAGTGCCTCTGAGGGTGGCAAGAGGCCACCCTCGACAGCTTGGCTTGGCTTGAAGAAACTGATGTTGGGGGAGGGCGCAGCGGCGCAGCGCCCCAGACCAAAGCAAACCAAGCGCCAAACCACCAAAAAGCTACAAACTGCCAACACAAAACATGCTATCAACACCTAGACCTAACCAGCACAATCCAACACAAAGTCCACAAAAACCAAAAGCCAGCCATCAAAAACCAACCCCCAGCCAAACGTCAGCCCAAAGTCACACACACACAAACAAAACACCAAAGGCCAAAAACCACCAAATGTCAAATTTGCCAAAAAGCTACCAAAAACCAAAAGAAGCTATCAAACCTAGCCATCGAAATCCAAGAGAACCACCACTAAGCAACCGCCAAAAAAGTTCAACCGACACGCCTCCAAAAGCCAGAAGCCACAGAAGCCACCAAGCACCCAAAACCACACAAACAAATAGCCAAAAAACACAGAAACCACCGAAGCCAAGCCACAGAAACATACAGAAACCACCAATAGGCGTGCTCAGGCGATC